CCCCAAAACCCCAAAACCCCAAAACCCCAAAACCCCAATTAGACGCAACTAAATGCAAGAACAGTTATATGGGGATATTTGATAAAAGCTTCTGCTTTACCAGTAGCTTGTTCATTTCTAGAACAGAGTTTTTCTTTTTCAAACTACTTATTATCAGCTCTGGATTTTCTTGACTAACACTTGGAATTGGAATCTTAGGCTTCTCTGAAGACTCTGCTACTTCAAAATCTTCATGACTTGACTCTTGGATGGATTTATTACTTGAAATATTAACATGAAAATCTTGATTTGGTGGATCCTTAACTGCATTGAAGGTTTTTCTAAGTACAACATTGCTGTACATATCTGCGAGGTTAGTATACCCGTCACTGTCACTGCTTTCGTCCTTCTCAATTTGCTTACTATCTTCATAATCTCCTGTGGATACATCCTTCCTTTTGATGGTGAGAACCTTCATTCTTTTGTTGATTGAGGCAGTTGAAACGCCTTTAGATCCGTAGTTTGTTTCCTTAATTCTTATAGTTCTTGGCAGCTGTTTTGAGCCTAGATTTTATGGTCTTAAAAGACTTTGTTTTATGTATCTGAGCTTGAGTGCTGGTTATGTGCAAAGAGGCACTCTCCTTTTGTGTAAAGATTCCTTTAGAGAACACCTCGTCAATAATGTTTGACTTTCTGCTTTCAACCTTAGGTTTTGTATCATCAATATTGGGCTTGATCCCAAGAGGTTGTAGAGTATCTTGATTATAGTAAGTATGGGTACCTAAAGTTATACTAAAATTACTCCTTTTCTCAGGTTTCTCTTGTGAATACCTCACAAATCCCGATTTCTATTGCTTAGGCAAGTACGTACTTTAAGAGGATTCTTGCTTCCCTTTTTTCTAGAAATAACTGAAGGGTCAAACCTTTCTTCACTTCGGTGCACTGAGGTCAGGTTTATATTTTAGAGCCTAAGACAAGGCAATAGCATTCTCTTGGATTTCTACAGATAAATTTTGACCAAACCGGGAGCTCGAAGCTTACCTTTCAAAGGGGCTTCTCTAGAAACCATTATATCTGAGAGAGATCTGTTTGCAGCTTTTGTTTTATTGATGTAAGTGTTTCTCCTAAGATGAGATATGGCTTCTGAAGCCATCAGTGATGACTTCAAAAGGGCTCTATAGTTAGAGAGAATAGATACTTCTGTTGGATTTGTTTGATGCTGAAAAGTTTTTGCTTTCTAGATTATAAAAAGATTCAGTTAATTTAGAATTTCATTCAAAAAAAGATTAGAAATATTTGAAATTTAGAAATGAACTTAATTGTTGAATAGACTTGAAAACTTACTTTAGTGGGTGATATCCTTTTATATCATTGTCGTTATATGGATTGGAATTAATTCATAATTTTTCTAAAAATAAGCGTTTGAAAGAATATTTACCCAACCCATGGCTAAGAATTCATACTAAAAATCAACTCAAGCAGATAAGAGGTATCTAGGAAATTATTTTTAATAGTAAATATCATATATTTAAACATAAATCACTTTAAACAAGAGTGATAATTAAAAATTATCAATAAAAAACATATAGCAGCCTCTCTATCTCTCCAAACTTTAAAATAATTTCTAAATTTCTCCTAAATCACCTCTCTCAACCCAGATTTACAACTTATAGGACTACTTTACCCAATAAATTCCATAAAATACATCTCCAACTACACTGTGTTTCCCAAAACCTTTCCTCTCCTTAATCTTCCCAAAATAATTCCTCTAAAACGATTGTCCCAATAAGTTAATAACTATCCAGCCTGAAAGCTTTAGCATAGCCAGAATTCTCTAAATTTGATTCCTTCCAAAATATTTATCCGGTTCGCTACTTCCGGCTTTACTGTACCTTCTACGTTCCTCTGATATCTTTCGGCTCTTTGGAGCTAAGATTGGCTTAAACTTCAGTGCTTTTGAGTTGAAGTAAGTCTGTGGTGAGCCTATTATGTTGACTTGTGCATCCCTTTTAACTTGGCGGAGTTTATATACATCTCTTCAACTGCTCGATATCTATGAGAATGAACTTAAGAAAGTGTACATTGTATCAGAGCTAGGCTTGTATTTCCGCTGGCTCTTAGCCAATCCTTTTAAAGCTATAATTTATAGAATTAATACCTCATTTCTCTTTGAATAACCTTTTCTTACGGTTAATTGTCCTTCTGGCTGGGTTTAAAGCTGTGTGAATTTTAGAACGGGTTTAACAGTGAAAGTTAAAAATCTGATATTTAAATGTGAATTGGTATTATTTCCACTTCGAACAAGATTTTTCACCTCTAATTTTGAAAATATTTCTTCAAACAAAAAGTATTTAATTTTTATCAAATTTTCCAAAAACTAACTTTAACCTTTACCCAACCATCATACCCTCACATCCTCCAATCTCCTCTTTCTACCAATTTCCCCACCACCCACCCCTAACCCCCACTCCAAGCCCTCAAACCCCCCAGTCCCCTTCTCCCCCTCAATCCTTCTCCACCCTTCCACACCCCTCTCTCCCCCAATTCCCATACACATAGTTATTCTATATTATTATTATCCAAAGGGGTTTTGGGGTTTTGGGGTTTTGGGG